TTTAAAGTAAGGCAATCTTATTTATTCAACTGGATATGGATCCTCCAATTTAGGCACGGCGTTTATTGAAGTGCAGGGCAATCATTTGAGAAAATACAGAAACTTCCCAAAACTGAGCATGATCTTTTTGAAGCCAGAAATTGTGATACACTTCTCATTCGCCAATTTAGGCACGGCGTTTATTGAAGTGCAGGGCATCATTTGAGAAAATACAGAAACTTCCCAAAACGGAGCATGATCTTTTTGAAGCCAGAAAGTGTGATACACTTCTCATTCAAGGGTGCGGGATACCGAAGATATCCTGGAAACCAGCCATGAAACCTCACGTATGCACAAGGAATAACAAGACTGGGCGGCACGTTGTCGATGACACAACAAGAATGGTTCAGAAACAAGGAAACTAAATCCTTTACATCGAAATTAAAAAGAGGACACATGCAATGGACAAAGGAGAACGTATGGACCATATCGGATTACATTTGATGAACATGATTTGATCTTAGCTGAATCAAACAGGAAGCCAAACAAACAAAATCAACAATGCTCTAACAACAAATGCCTGTTCATATGTAGCCCGAGCAAAATACTTTTCAAAATGTGCATGAATTGCAGCCATTTTATTGGGTTCTTATGGTGATTCTTTTTCAATTCACGATTCTTAATCTTTGAAAAGCTGTTTGTAGTAGTTGTGTCTTGTAGGAGAAGATCTTGTGCAGGGCAATGGCTGTTGATGTTAGACCTGTCAGTGGATCAGGACCGCAAAGGGCCTTATTTTCGAAGACAGGCGAACGTCCGCCTACAAAATTACCAAAAGAAAAACTCAATCCGTGTGTGCAGCTCGACTGTACTTGACTTGCGCTGGGCATGAAAATAGAGCCCAAAGTCTTCAGAAAAGCTGAACTTGGAGGGGACTCGTGTGAGGCCTTGAGGTGCTAGCCGAGGTCTGGTGAGATCTTCTGACATGTCGTGACAGTTTGAATCTCCTTTTTTTCCCCGTCCAACTTTTGAGGCCTTTTTAACCTGAACATTTTGGCCAAATTCTGAATTGTGCATCCTTGGGAGCATTCAACTTTAGAAGTTCTCCCGGACATAAACTGTTCACCCAGAAAAGAGAGACGGGAGCCATTTTCAGAGAGACTAGCCACCGAACAACCAAAGATTCCAGTAGACACAAGCTTGAGGCTATATATCTGTAGACGTTCATGGTTAACCTTCACAGATGAAGGAAGTGAAGCTGAAGGGCCCCGAAGCCTTCACGCTCGGCTGACTTCAGCGCTTGTCCGTGAGGGACTGAGAAGGACCGAAGGGATCCAGTTCTCCGGCACTTATCGGGAGAAACTTCGGACAGTTCTCCAGTCCTGATGCAATCCCAGTTTTGACGATGGAAAGACTAAATGGAAGAGCAGCAGCAATGGGGAATCTTGGGAGTTTTTCGAACTCAAGTTACAATCCCAGCTCCGTTTTCATTAAAAGGGACACAAAAACAGTCCGACAAGTTCCCTTCACAGCGAGAGCTTGTGCTTATTACCCGAGAAGATGGACAAAGATGGCAGACAGAAAGAGAGCAACTATGCTGCACTTCTCTTTAAGTGCTTGCGGCGCCTTTGGGACTCTACCTGATGAACTCCTGCTTGATAGCAAAGTGCCAGAGCCATCCTCAGCGGATCACATCCGAATCACTCCACGATGGCTATCCACTTTCACAAAACCATAACACACAGCGGGTGTCGCCGTTAAAAGTGACAGAATAACCAAGTAACAAAAGGCCTCGCGTTCGCCGAGTAACAGTTTGGCCTTTCTGTTGCTCGTCACTTAGCACCTGCGGTTGTTCTTTAAGCTCCTCTCTTCTTTATGAAGTCGGCATCCCATATCGTCCTCTCGGCGAATGCAACAGTGTGCTTCCATCATGAGAGCGTTCTCACAACAGGGGCTCGATGTCTTTTCAGCAACGCGGACAATGCAACCTGGACATGCTTCTTTTGGTGTAGAGTTGGAGGAATTTCCATTAAAAAAAAAGCCTAGCGGACAAAACGACCTCTTCTCCTCACCGGGCTTCTGCTCATAGAGCTCGTGGCGACATTCAGTGTGATCACAACACACATACAGCAGGTTGACCCACACAATCTCATGAAATTAAAGCCAGTATACTGATGAAAGAGGACGAGGAGTAGAGTCCTATTGCATTGTGTTCTTCACGTTTACATTCGATCAATTTAGAATTAAAAGGTTAGATAATCGAATGTTTTCGCCAAATGACGTCGCAAATAGCCCCTGGTCAAGACCTATGGGTGGAATGTTGACGTATTAGTAAATGGGGGTCACTGAAGTTGGGAAAAACCTCTGATTCATATATAATACTGAAGATATTTTCTCATGACTGGCCTTTAGAAACAATGATGGACTGTCACCATGACAGTTTGACTGTGGAATGGCTTTTCCGCGTACCTCCATCAGTTCCTATGGGAACGGTTGTTTCCAAACTCGACAAACCACGTTTCTCGGCGTCCACGGAACACATTGTATTAACTGTGAGTATAAAAAGGGGCCCCTGTGAGCTGCCTCCCCGATCAGGGCGCAGTCAGACGCCCCCGAGTCCTATGGTGCCAGGCCCAGTCACCAACCACGTTACCTTTGTCCTCAGGCAAAGTGTGGCAGCTGGAGTTTGGAACCTCCTCATTTTCACCCACACACACACACACACACACACATAGCGACTGATGAGCATATACTATATCCCACTCACACACCGGGGGAGCAGGCAGGCATGGAGCTGGTCCCGGATTTTATCGGAGGTGACAGCTTCTCACACTTGAGTGTTTGGATCACCTCAAGTAGCTGGGCTGTGAGGGGGGAAATGAGCACCGCTCCACTACAAAGTCCAGATTTAGATTGACTGAGCTTGTCCTCGGGCCCGTGGGCTGCTTCTACTGCAGCAGCCTGACGAGAACACCCACTGCTGCCGCGAGGGACTGGTGCACATCTGTCTGGCTGCACACTTTGCGTATGTGTGTGTGTGTATGTAATATATATCTACCTATAAATGTTTGCGGCCACTTTGAGGAGAGCAATGTGTCAGGTTGGCTTAAAATTGACCGTGGCATCAGAATATGCTTGGCACTAATATGGCACCAGTATCTCTGTCGCCGTCTGATTCTGCTTTGTGTCATTTCGTCGCCATCTTCTCCGCGCCCTTGACAGCGTCTCTTTGGATTACGTGATTGTACTCGGAGCAGCCCTCATCCCGCCCCCGAGCAACGCCACCTTACCCGGCCCGGGCCCTCCTATTATTGCTCCTCCGCCTCCTCCTTGCCACCTCCCGCAGTGCACTCGATGTCGATGTTAAAAAGCCTGGCGAAAGACGTATCTGTTCTCCTGTCAGAGGATCATTGACAGCACTAATGCCGCTTGTCCTTGCCTTGATTGGCGAGAGGTGATATCAAGCCGTGGCCCGCCTGCCTCATCAAGTGGCGGCGTGTGACTTGAGATGCGATAGCCTTCTACAAGGACAAACATCTCACTTATCTGATGATACAGGGCATTGCGTAAGTCGCTCTGCGCTTAAATTATTAACGTATAATGTCACATAGTGTAAGCACATTGAATTGTTTTGAAACATGGGTATGAAAATACAAGCATGCACAGCGAACGCCCAAGAACAGGGGTCCCCAACCGCCGGGTCATTTGGTGCCGGGCCGCACAGAAAGAATAAATAACTTACATCCCTTCCGTTTTATTCATTTCAGAATCTGAAAGATGTTTTATTTTGAAAAATTACCAGATTCTCTGTTATATCAGTCTACAGTATGTCACTCTTGACGCAGGGGAATGCGTGCTTCTCGGTCACGTGATAGAAAATGAAACCCAGGAGCCAGCAAAATGAATAAAAACCAAATGTCTTTGAAAAGTTTTTTCGGGAAGGGGGGAAAGGCCCAGCCAGGAGTTAGAAGAGCAGCCTACGACTTTCAAGAAAGGCTACATTTAATGGACAGTATCAGGAGTCCCATTTCAAATACAACTTTATCTCACCAGGAGATTTACACGCATCAAGCCTACTCTGCATAATAAGTGGCGATGGTGAGTCGTATTTTTCATGCTCTTTTTATTTGCAAGAGAGAAAAAAAGCGATAGAATAAAAAGAGAAAAAAAGAGAGAAAAAAAGTGATAGAATAAAGAGAAAAGAGAAAAAAGCGATAGAATGAAAAGAGAAAAACTCGAGAATAAAAAAATAAAAAAGAGAAAAAAGGGCGATAGAAAAGAACAAAAAAAGGGAAAAGGCGAGAGAATAGAGAAAAAAACAGAAAAAAGTGATAGAATATTTTTCCCTTTTTATTCTATTGCTTTTTATTCTCTTTTTCCTTTTTTTTCTTTTGTCTTTTTGTCTTTTTTCTGTCTCTTCTCATTTTTAATTTTCTCTTTTTATTCTCTATTTTTCTCTTTTTCTTTTTTCTCTCTCTTTTTAATTTCTTTTTTCTCTCCGTCTTTTTAGTCTTTTTCTCTTTTTTCTATTTATTCTCTCTTTTTATTGTCTTGTTTTCCTCTTTTTATTCTCTTTTTTTAATAGAGATTAGTGAACCGCGAATAGTGAACCGCAAAATACGAGCTGCGAAAAACGAACCGCGAACCTCGAATAACAAACCGCGTAAAGTGAAGCGTGAAAAACGAACCGCGAATCGTGAAATTGCGAACCGCGAAAACTGAAACGCGAATAGTGAACCTCAAATAACGAACCGCGAATAGTGAACATTTGTCCCTTTCTAACATGCCCTCTCATTCGGTTTAAGGACAAGCCCGCATACTTTGCCCTCAAAACAACTTTCAAAGCTTTGATTAATATTCCCATAGTAGGTTTTGCCAGTTTGTTTCATTTGTTATATATTATAATATATATTATAATATTAGTTATATGACAATATCTGTCGCTGAACTGCAACGTGTTGCCCTACTTCTGTGCGACTTTATCCAAACGAGCTGCTAAATTCTATTCCTGTGGTTTTTTTTAGGTGTCTTCACCAAATGCCGCTACATCTACTACGGCAAGCAGTCCGAAGGCAACAGATTCATCCAAAACGACCAACTTTGATGGCGCTGCCGCGTCCGGGAACACGTGGGACATTGGAGAACATGGCTGATAAGGCACGGGAAAGAGAAATAATGTCATTATTTCTGTTGCTGGTCCCTCTCTGTGGAATGACCTTCCACTGAACATTCGGCAAGCCTCCTCACTGCTCATCTTTAAAACCCGCCTCAAAACTCACTTGTATTCTTTGGCATTTGATTCAGCATGATTCAGATTTGTTCTTGGTTTTGCTGTTCGGTGCTTTCTACCGTCTTTATTACCGATTTGTTGCTTTACTGTTGTATATGTTAGTTGTTCCATGTAGAGCACTTTGTATGCAGCGATGGCTGTTTGAAAGTGCTCTATAAATAGTTGAGTTGAGTGTTATTTATTTACGTTCCACTGATAATGCACTCAATCAAATAATTGCTTTGACTTTGTAGCAGAAAGATGTTTCAAGACGGTATTGTTCCTTCTGCGTGCACGCGCACACACACACACACACACACACACACACACACACACACACGAGGGACAAACGGGTCCAACCTATTGCGTGTCTTGTCCTGACAGCCATGATGGATCACCCATCCACTGCTGCCACTAATCAAGGGTGAAAGGGGTGACGGTCACACACCTGAGACCTGACATGGACACATCCGAGGTGCGCGCGTGCACACACACACACACACACACACACAAAATAGAAAGCACTAAAATGTTGCCCGGTGTTGGAGATTTTTGGAATTTTGAGTTTAAAAAAAAAAATCTCTTTACTCCTCTTATTTTAGATGGCTCATGTAAATGTCCCTCTTTATTGATTCCATGAATACATTCCAATGCATAGATAAAAAAAGATCAGGCCAATGTTTAAATTGTACTGTTTTAGTCAATGAAATGAAATTTTATTGATATTCAGAAAGGCATTTTAAACTTGTTACATTAAATTCTAAATTCATGTTCGAATTCAAATTCCCCGCTTCTGTCAGCCCAGGACTTTTTTGTTATTGTTTGAAATGTATTCTTTAGCCGTTTACAATTTGTACTTGTATTTTTGTTTGTCGTTTCAGCGCTTCTTTTCATTCAGTTGACCCTATACAGTGATTGTTTACATGCCCCCGAGATTCCTTTCATGGAACCATAAAACATTGCCACAGACACTTGCCTCAAATGTCATACTCATTCCAAATCTCAGATCTATCAAATGTTTACATTATTATAAGACATGCATCACCACTGAGGGCATGAAACATCAGGTGTGCTGCCAATGTTAGCATATGTTGCTAAATTACTGACATGACCTGGCTGTTCCAACACAAACAGCATATTTAAATTTAATGCCAAGGTCAGTCGTCCCCAAACATTTTCCTGTGAGGGCCACGTAACTTTTCGCTTCTCTTTTCACTGATTCGTAATGAGCAAGGTGGGCTGGAGCCTGTCCCAGCTGACTTTGAACAAGAGGCTGGCTACACCCCGGATTGACGGCCAACCAATCGGAGCCATTCACATTCATATTTATTTCAAGTCTTAATGGCATCATTTTGAAACGTGGGAGTAAGCCAGAGTACCTGGAGAAAACCCCTGCAAGCACATAAATACCACACAGAAGAGCGGAGCGGACGGAGATTCAAACCCTGAACCTCAGAACTGCGAGGCAGTTATCCACCACACTGCCATTAAAAATCCAATTCACGACATTTTGGGTGACCTCTGTCCATACTGTAGCATGAATGCAATTCCTAAATGGTAACGCCAGACTGAAAGTTGACACTAGGATATCTGGCGTAGTAGACAACGCCATTATCCAAGCGCTTTTCGACCCGACTGTGGAAACAGTCTTATCTTTCTGAGCGCATGCGCATACAAAGGCTAGCAAAGGAGCCCGCGGGGCTTCTAATGCAGAATGTCACTGATCTGTTCTGATGAAGTAGCGTGCCATTTTTGCTCAAGCAGGAAGTTCTCTCAAGCCGCCAGCAGCAATGATGCTGACTTCAGGGTCAAAGAGGCCACAGCCTGCAGGTGAATGTCTATCAATTACACCTTCATTAATCTACCAGCCGCTAAAAACGCATACGTTACGAACTCGGAGACGAGCAAACGTCAAGGCGCCGTTGCCGAGATGCGTTTTTGCGCTCCGGTGTGGCAGCTCGCGAACAAACGCGCCGCTGACGAGGATGAGAAGTGACACCTACCAAACTCAGTGTGTCCTCCAGCCAGCTCCGGTGGCTCAGCGCCTGTCAATTCCAGCTCTGTCACCGGCACTGGCTCAATGGCAGTGACTGTGACACATGTCACAAACTTTTAAATGTCTGCTCTTTTCAGCAGGATGGCTGGGCGCGCACTGCAGCCAGGGGAAGGATGACATTTGTAGCGTGCGTTTATGTGTGTGTGCGTGTGTGTTGTTGTGTGGCCCTCTTCTTCCTGCCTCCTCAGGCTGTCAGTCCCAGTTTCCTGTGAGCATGTCACAACGCAGACAAATAAACCTTGTCATTTTGAAACGCCACCACGAGTGACCACGCTCCTGAACGACATGTCAGCTGGAATATGGTCACACACACTTCTGTGGCAAGTCGGTGCGCAACACACTGTAAACGACCGCACAACCGTGGTAGCATTTCAAACTGAAGGAAGACGCTCACGAGAGCGCATGATCTCTGACATTTCCATTGACTGTCCTGAGCATAAGTAAGACTCTGTGGCATATTGCGAGTTGCTATGAACGCATTGAAACTTCCATTTCTATGTCTATGATAGCTAGCTAGATTTCTTGCTAGCTCGATAGCTCCTCAATCAGGGAAGAGAGCCCCACTTACGTGAGCCTGTCTTTGCAGCAAATTGAAACTTACAGCAGTGACACGTGGTTGAAGTGTCAATGGTCAAGGTGTTACGCAGTTCATATTAGTCACTGTGGCTACTAGCTGCCTTTGTCATGAGCCGCTAATAACACTTTGGATATGTAAATCGACTTGCAACGTCACTGACTCAGTGCAGGGCCGTAGCTAGCCATTTGGGACCCCAAGGTTACACAACCAATGCACCCCCCCCACCCAAACACACACACACAAATATATATATATATATATATATATATATATATATATATATATATAAAGTGAACTGTACGAAGGGAAAATGTAGTTTGTCCAAATATGCGACTATTTCGTGCAGAATTTTCAGCAGGACACTGAAATGCTGAAGTATTCGACAGCTGTAGCTTCTTTGAACCTCCCCATTTTATTGTCATAGGTTCAAAAATTATTAGAACCCTTGATTACCCTGGAAAAAAATGCTCCTCCAAATGACTAAATTGCTCCTCAAATTAAGTCATTGATAAGCAAGATTGCTCTTCAGTTATTTCGAGCCTTGCATACATATAGTGTACATATAAACGTTTAACCTTTGTTTGAGAATTGTTGAATTTGATCATTTAGTTGCTACAATCTGACCCAAACAGCAAGGTACTTCCAATCTCTGCTTATTTACTTCCCAAGTTTAATAACACAAGTGGAAGCTGAGTGTGATTTCACCTCTGCAAAAGGCCCGCTCGCTCTTCTGTGTGACTCCCTCCGCTGCCAAAATCACGAAAGGCCAATCATCCCATCACAACGTTCAAAGCCAACACCCGTGATGGCTGACTGACATCAGCTAATATAAAAGAAGCCACATAAAGAAAGGGGACTCGCCTTGATGAGTGACAAGTGGCCATTGGTAGCAGAGCAGACCCCCGCCCCCGCAAAAAAGAGATTTGGTTTCAGAAACAACTGTTTAGATGCGCGTGGCCCTTATTTCCATCGCGCCGTCTTCGACAAGAATCATTTGTCATTGGTTGTGGGACCGGGGGGTGGTTCTGTGCTGTTCTAATTAGCTTGTCAGGGGGCCTCAGGCTGAGCGGTCTGCTTGTGCTAAGAAAGATGGACACACTGACACGCGAGCTGACAGCCAGTCGATAATGTGGCAATTAATGTCATAAATAATTCCGCTGCCAATTATGTCAAAATGGACTTTCACTCTGCTACTCCCTTATCATTTCCTCTGATAAGAAGAACAAGAGTCTTTCACCCCCTATAATTAAATGGCTTTTTATATGGAAATAGAACATAGCCACTCCACATGGTGCTGCAAGGAAAATATTGTGGACGATAATGAATCCGCTTTTTCTGACCTTTACCTCAATGGAGTCATGTGACACAACCTCCAGGCTCTTAAAATGTCATTGGCTTGTTTGCGCTACCAAAGATAACGACATTGCAGAATGCAAAGACAATTAGGAAGGAGCGAGTGATCGATCCTCAACGATATTCGTAAAAGGTTGCGAATGCTTAACCATCAGTGGGTGTATTGATCGTGACACCGCATCACTCGCTAGGAAGAAAAAAAATGATAACCATTCCTGGGAATGCGAGGCTGATCGATGGTGCTGAGATGCTTCTCTCAGAAGTGAACGTGTTGTTTTGACACCTGGGATTGGTTCCCATACTAGAAATTCTGTGTGAATCTGTCAATTCACTTTAACTTTAACATATGTATACTGTCCACGCCCAGAACGCCCAGAACATGTGTCAGTGTGTAATCCCAGCGCATTCTGACTCAGTATGAAGCAATACCATTGTATCACTGGCACTTGAAATTTTCGGCAAAAAAAAAAAAAAAAAAAGCATGTAGCTGTGATTTGATTATTTGCATCAAGACCCACTGCGCTTGACCATGTGTGGGTGGGAATGTAGATCGACCAATAAATCGAGAAGTACCAACTACCGACCACCTGACGGCCGCAGCTCTGGTCAGCTACCTAAACGTAAATCTGCCAGACGGTCCTGGCAGACCCTGACAATACATATGGCTGTGCCAGGCCTGACAGACATCGGGCTTTGTTTTTCTGCGTCGTCTTTTAAAATTTCTAAATATAAATCCATGGCATATACCAAACAATGCGCACGTTGTTTGCAGTTCAAACCTGTTAAGCTACTATTACAGAAAAAAAAAGAAAAGGAAACATATTTTTGAGCTGCATTCTCAGCATTCTGTCAGTAAATGCTTAACAATCTCTTCCCGGTGGCTTGTTCGTCTCTCCAAATGGCTCGGTGGAGGCGAGCGGCAAACCCTCAACATCAGGCTGACACTAAACCCCTCTGCCAAATGTATGAGCAAATAAAGTGGG